AATTCTCTTAAGAAAAAAACTACTTATCTCTTCCTCCAGATTCTGATTTCGATTGCACTACCATTCTCATCAGAACTTCTACATTGTCCATAATATCTAAATGATCAGGTGTATTTGCCAAATCTTTTAATGCTACTTTTTTAAAAGCATACTCTTGATGTAATTGACATGATAAATTGGAAAAACGGCAAATAATCCCTCATTGAAAACTTCTTTAAATCATTTGGGACCAGAGTCAAAGCACCTGTCTATTTGAATTCATTCAGAGTCTCAGCAAGATTTGGCAAGATGAACTGCTTGGGCCACCTTGGCAGGAGGCTGTGGCTTTAGCAGGTAATTTAGTTTTGTGGTTTCCTATCAAGTAAGAAAGGTTCAGTATTTGCGGAATTGAAGCGCAAGTAAAAACATCATTAAAATTGTTTATGGATGAACAATGAAAGTAGTTTAACAGAGCAAATTATGCAAAAGCTTTTATTTGATCATTCACAGATATCTAAAGCATGACTCACTACAAAACAGTATCAGACTATTTCCCCATACCTTCCATTCAGGTCCTGGGTAGGTCAGGGGTTATTAACACAAGTTCTGCAGAAGTGGGAAGTTAACTCTGGAAAATGCTGACATTCATGTTTCCCTTTCCTTAATGGAACTGTACGTTTCATATCAGCATATTTCATTAAGACACCAAACAGATTCAAAGAATGTGCTATATTTCCAGGTCTATTATAGCTGCCATTCCAAACAAAATATGTACAGCTTCCATGATTCACTAAGCACAAGTATGTAGTAATCTGCCCTTTAATGGCCTCTCAAAATGACAGACCAAATGGCTTTGTGAAGGTCAAGTCTGATTTAAATTGTTGATGAATTAATAGCTAATTCTGCATGATTGAATATTAATATGGAACAGTGATAAGTAAGGCACTTTAAAGCTTAATGAGCACATTAATGAATAGGACAAAATGTTTTTCTTTTCACCTCATGTAAAAGTTTAAAGCTGCTAACATATTGACAATTTGTTAGTTTTTGATAGCTGCTTTTTTTCTGTAAAAGTTTATGTGGTTAAGATATAAAAGGTATTGATTTTTTTCCCCCAAGTTCCTGGTAGTACACATTTGATAGCTGTCAAAATTGATGTTATCAAATGGCCAAGACAGTTTTATATAAATCACTAATAAATGTAGAAGGTGAAAAAAAATTAACATCTTCTACACCCACTGAGATAAGCACTCCAATTAGAAATTTCATTATTTCTACAGTTCGTTTTATGTTGAATACTGAGTTTTATTGCCAAATACCTGACAAATTGGAAACAAGCCACAACTGCCAACGTATAAGAGTTCTGGCTATTTGAATCTGTTACATTGTGATGTTTCTCATGAAAATTTAATGAAGAAAGTACATTCAAAGAGATTCTGTGCAAAGGGGGGATGGATAGAATTTAATTACCCTTATTAAAAATAAGAAAGGAACACTCTTTACATCCACTGTCCGATTAGTATGCAAGAAAGATTATCTTTGTTGTGCACTTGTGTATATGGAAAGGGAGCTTTGGAGTGTTCTTTATGAGCCAAGAAGGAAAAAGAAAGGTCATGCAAATGTATTAGACTGCTTTGGGTAGGGCACAAGTCAATTTTGTCAGCTCTCCCCAAGATGAGGACTTCATTTCTTATAAATGGTTATTAATTCTAGATTTCTTTAGTAAGAGCCTTTAGTAAGTGGCAACAATCTTAAGTCTTTGACACTTGCCACTTGGTACTGAATATTGGCTTGGTTCTTCAGAGAGATGAACCTGTAGAAGAAAAGTAATGACTAGTAGGTCAGTGTTAATGTATGCTAATGTAACTAGTATTCAAAAGCCTGGGAGTAGATACAACGCCCTGGGAAACGCAGAATCCGTTCAAGGATCTCAAGGTGATTTTTTACTAACCTAAATTGGTAGCTTTAAATATGGAAAATAACAACAAAATCTAAGAGCTTTTTTAAAAACTCATTTCTAGGTAACTAAGCCAGTGTAGTTGACTTTGGAGCACTTGAATTATTTTTTTCCTTTGAAGCATTTCGTGTCAATAGCTGCCAAGTGAGATGTTTAATATGATGTGTATGGTACAATGGCTATTGATCTTTCTGCTTTTGTTTTTCTAGTAACAGTAGAACAATGCTATAGATGTAAATACATCATACTGATGAAACCTTTAAAGTCATAAAGAACAGCCTGATGAAATTCAAATGGAGTAGGTTATCAAAATTAGTCTAATTTGCAAAATGCTCTATTCCATTTGCAATTTTTAACTTTCCAACTTGGAGCCCTGAAATATCATCTTGAAATTTCATTCCTAACTATTGTTTTTGACACTTGTCCACCATAGACTTCTGCTTGGCTGATGATGTGTAAGCATTCAAATAAACAGATTGTATCCCTGCTTCCTCAAAACAGTCATATCTTTCAAGTTAAGTAAAATGTTGCTCATTGATGTGAACTATTTTTATAATATTTTATATTTATATAAATATATATATTTTATATTTATAAATATATATTATATATAAAAATATAAAATTATATATATATTTTATATTTATATAAATATATTTATATTTATATTTATTTTTATTTTTTAGTCTCCAGCTGTAACTAGCTGGTGGGACAGGAAAATATTCTCTAGTGAATTGAGATGTCAAAGCCAACTTGCCTTAGCTGCTTCTATTGGTCTTTCATAAATCTCCCTGCAGGAGAGCCAGGGTCCACACTTTTCCCTGTTCTCTTAGCCCCACAGTTTCTCTTACAATATTCTGGAGTTGTTGTTGAGGGAAACCTTCCCTTTATTGGGAGCTTTTTTCTTTGGTAATATTTTAACCTTCATTCATTCAAAATCTCTCTCTATAGTCCTGAGCTATTTCTCTGATCAACTCTTACCAGAAGTAGTTTTCCACTATATGTAGTATAAAAACTTTTTTTTTCCAGTTTTTAATCACTAGGATATATTTATATTTAACCTTGGGAATCATTGGAGGTTCTATCCAAAGTTGAGTAATCCAGGGGCTCCAGGGTGGCTCAGTTGGTTAAGGGTCTGACTCTTGATTTTGGCTCAGGTCGTGGTCTCAGGGTTGTGAGATCAAGCCCTGCATCAGGCTCACATGCTGGGTGTGGAACGTGCTTAAGATTCTCTCTCTCTGTCTGTGTCTTTCTCAAAAAAAAAAAAAAAGTTAAAGAAAAAAAAAAGTCAAGTAATCCAGACTAGTTTGATGGCAAGGGATTTGGATACAAATGAGACATGGAAGAACTCAAGGGGTAGGGAGATACACTGATGATAATAAGTATAAGAAAATAGATTTTAGTTACTATACAATAGCTGTGAGGAGGAAAATATTAAATATATTTGAGAGGCTTTTTATTACAAAGAAGGTGATTTTGGCTGCATGGCTTTTCAGAGACAGAGTACTTAATGAACATGATTTGTCTGGGGAACGGTTAAGAATTACAGTGTGAGAAGAATAAACTTTCCTCTGGGGGTATCATCCATGAGAGGCTGAGAAAAATGGGGCCTGATTTAAAAGGATTTTGCTAGCTAGATTTAGGAGATTGAGTTTATCCTGTAGTGATAGAAGGGACGCAGTAGAGAACACATAGATCTGACTGACAACACAGTGGAAGCATCAAAATGGAGGCTTTTCCCTAGAAATTATAACCCAGTCTTCAGCAAAACTCATAGGATCATACCAGAAATTTCAGGCTACAGCCAAGGAAAAGTGAGGTGCTGTATCTGGTGAGTCGTAATTTTTTTTTTTTTTCTCACTGGTGTTTGTGCTTTTGAGTAATTTTGGAATTGGAGGCTCATGAAAATTAATCAGAGGTAATGAAGGAGGGTTGATTAAATTAATGCCAGACCCCATGAGAATTTGAAACGTTTCCTAATGGTTTTCAAACAAACAGCCAAGTTCTAATTTAGATAATCATCACCCATATAACTCAAATTCCTTCAAATTCTAAAATTCTTCAAGATAGAATATGCCTTTCTAATGTTGACTGGAAGAGCTGGTAATGCAAGTTAGTCATGTGGATCATCATGTTTAGGGGATTTAAGAGGACTTTAATTTTGCAAGATCTAAGATCTGGGACTTTTTTTGGTAAAGATTTATTTATTTGACAGAGAGAGCGCACAAGCAGAGGGAGTGGGAGAGGGAGAAGCAGGCTTCCCGCCGAGCAGGGAGCCCGACGTGGGGCTCAATCCCAGGACCCTGGGACCATGACCTGAGCCAAAGGCAGATGCTTAACGACTGAGCCACCCAGGCGCCCTGATCTGGGACAATTTTGATATAGGTTAGGGAGTAGTGAACTTTGGATGAGCTGAGGATTCAAAATTTAGGAATTTCAGCTCTTAGTGACTGAAAATGGTGTAGGCCTTTGGAATAGAGGAAAATACTCTCTTACTCTGAGGAGTATACTTCCACTTGTTCTTAAAGGCCCACTTCAGAGCCTCCTTTGGTACTCACTGACCTCCTCAGGCACACATTGTATAATTTCTTTTCCCTCCATCATGCCGGAGAACTAGATGCATTTTTTCATCATGGTCTTTATCACATGTGTCTTAGCTCTTTGTTAGGTTATTGGTCTCTTATACAGCAGGTGCATTCTTCTGGCCAGGAACAACATTGTGACATCCTAATCTGATAGCGCAATGTTGCTGGGTTTGTATTACCTTCTCAACAAATGCGGAGTAAGGTAAGGGGGAAGATTAGTGGGCAATAGCTCTTGAATCTTGAGCGTCTGACTTTTTTTTTTTTTTTTTAAAGATTTTATCCATTTATTCATGAGGGACAGAGAGAGGCAGAGGGAGAAGCAGGCTCCCAAAGAGCAGGGAGCCCGATGCGGGGCTCGATCCCGGGACCCCGAGATCATGACCTGAGCCGGAGGCAGACGCTCAACCATCTGAGCCACCCAGGCGCCGTTGAGCGTCTGACTTGTTAACATAATGTCTGTATCACCTTTTGTCTTGCAGAGGATCAAATTCCTAGGGGCTTCCCTACCATTGACATGGGCCCACAGTTGAAGGTGGTCGAGCGGACGCGCACTGCCACCATGCTTTGTGCAGCCAGTGGGAATCCAGATCCAGAAATAACTTGGTTTAAAGATTTCTTACCCGTCGACACAAGCAACAACAACGGCCGTATTAAGCAGTTACGATCAGGTAGGGTCTTGTTACTGTTTCCACTAACTCTTAGAGACTTTTTTTTAGCTTTCTCTCTCTTTATTTTTATTTTTATTTTATTTTAATTTTTAGGTATTGATTTTTCTCCCTCTTCTCTTTCTCTGTTATTTAATGTGTTGTCCATGTTTGTGATGTCATAGCCTGTTTCAGAGTCTGTCTTTCTCTCTCTGTGTTTTGCAGCTTCTGTTTAATCCTCATTGCTCACTGCTGTGACTGTATTTTTGATAATTCTTTAATTTACTGCTTTTCTGCAGTATTTGATGGATCCATTTTCTCCTCTTTCTTTCTTCTTTCTCTGTTTTCTTTTGGAACAAATTTATTTCAACATTGGACTTCATTCAGAACTTGCAAGGAGGTCCAATGGTTGTATCCATTAAAAACCAAAAGATTCATATTAAACACTAAATTGATTCAGTTTTATTAAAGTGTGTTTTCTCTGTCTTTTCTGCATTTGAACTCATCAAAGTACCAAAGTTTAGTAAGTTTGGTCACATCTGCTTTCTTTTCACTAATACATAAACCACAGAAATGTTATCTCCTGAGTAACCAGATGTATTTTGCAAAAGTCCTTTACCAAGTACCAATGAAAGGAGGGGATTTTGATTAATTTTATTTTTATATTATTGTGAGTGAGCATTTTCTACACATAAGCCACAGTAGTGTGCGCCCACAGTAAAGAGTTTTGAACCCTCCAGTGACTGGATCTACAGAAGTCTGCTTTTGGTGTAGACTCCAGCTTTTGCTGCTTTCTCCTCTCTCTCCCTGCTGCCCTTTTGTCCCTTTCCCATCCCCATCCCAAGTTCATTCCTTTGCTCTCTTTAGATTAAAAATAGAGGTAATTCTAAATTTCTTAAATTTTAGAGCCTGTCCCTAGGTGATTTCCCTGGGACATGTAGTAATAAGCGGTTTACTTTGACGTTGGGAGTAATATGGATATAGAATTCTAAGTTGTTTAACTTAACTGCCTGTCTTCCCAGAATTCTCAGCTTTTGACCTGTCCTGTGATGTTAAAGCGTCTTGTTAACTGCCTCTTTTGCTTGTTGTCAGCAGAATTGTGTAGATTAGCATTCTGTTATTGTAAATAAAGAATTAATTATTCACATGTAACATAGATGATTTAGTATATAAAGCTTTAACTCTGAAAAATTTGTACCAAATTATAAGGAATATAATAATATTTTTATGCTGTCTTTCTTCTCTCCGTATTTAAATCTCCAGAATCTATTGGTAAGTGCTTAGTTCTGAAGCGCACTTCACCCCCACTAATTTCCATATCCAGAATATTATTATTATTATTTTTATTATTATTAATAAAATGCATGGCATGCATTTTACTAACTGTCAGTGTAGACACCAGATCTTGGTAGTGGCGCGCACACGCACACATCCACAGAACTGTTATTGTAAGAACACTGTCTAGAAAAATAAAATAGTACACAAGTTGTATCACACAAATGTAGCATAGTGAGAAGCATAAGATATTCAATCAACAGTGTTTGTTTCTAGTCAGTCATTAGTATTTCCTACAACAGTATATATATATGCGTATCTATATATATACTTAAATAGATTAGCCAGTATTTTTCCTAAACTATGTCTTTAAAAAGTATTGTTTAGTTTTTATTTATTTTTTTAAGAATATGAGGCATATAAGATATGATTCTAACCCGATATGACCCCAGATCTAAGAACTCAGTTGCTTCTCTGAGAAGGCAGCGATGCCTTTTGTGGTCTTTGCCCTCTGTGGTATAATGCAACTTGCTTTTGTAATCTGATAATACTATCTAATATATTCCTGTTTTACCAGTATAGTAATTCAAGTTTCTTTTAAGACCTTATTTAATTCTGTAAATCTAATTTAATTCTTCTCCCCAGCCCTAGCCTCCTCCTTCTCGTACTAATGCTTCTTCTTTCTAATCTTATTTGCATTCATATTATCCACCCAGGTGGTACACCAATAAGAGGTAAGAGTGCTGAACTAACGTTCACAGAATGATCTTGCTCATTCTTTCTGTCCTCTCATCACTCCCATCTTTGTCCTGTTTTCAACATCATTCCAATAATATGTCCATCAACTTTATTTTTTCCCTTTGTACTGTTTGGTTATGATCAGTGACTCTCATATTGTGAGTTTTCCTTTTCTTTTCCTTTTCTCTTTGTTTTGTTCATTTCTTTCTTTATGGAAATGATTATTTAAGTTGTGATATGCTTCAAAGAAAGCATATCCAGGTCTCTAGACCACAGACCAGTCACAGCGTACCATCTGTCCCTCTTTTTTTCCTTTTCTTCTTCTTCCTTTTTCCTTTTTTTCTTTTTTTTTTCTTCTTTTTCCTTTTTTTTTTTTTTTTTTTGTCCAACTGGAGAAAAAAAAAAAGATCATTTTTTTCTTCCTTAGCTGTTCTTGTTCTGGACCAAAGCCAAGATGGTCTGGAGAACAGTGGCAGACATGCAGAAGACAGCCTGGAACATCTGCTTTTTGTCTTTATCTTTCAAAAGGTTTTTGCTTTTGTTTTTCAATTCTTTTTTCTCTTACTGTCTTAAAAGTCAAAGAATGACTCCCCTTTCCACCTGATCCCACTCGCCTACGACCTGACAGCAATGTTTTTTCCCCCCACTTCTTTTTTTCTTGGATTACTCGCCTCTGGATTTTTGGATCTTCTGTCCTTCAGGCTATGGAAACAAAAGGTGCTCAGTATTCTTGGTGGTATGTGATATTGCTGGTTTTTCATACTTTGACTCAGTGTTCATTTCTTTTAGAATTCTTGTTTTGTATTTTTCTTGGGGCTTTGTGACACCACACTGCTAATCCCACTGGTGGATTTTGATGGGTGTCTTAGGGGATCCGCCTCGAGGTCCTCAAGCAGTGGTTGGTTGGCTCTTTCTCGCTGGCATAGGCCGTGCTTTTTAACTTTTTTAAAACCTTCTAATTCAACTGCTCTTTGTTTTTCAGCAAATGTAATAAATGATTGTAAGTCGTGGCAAACTGTCTTTCTTTTCTTCAAAATCTGCGTGTCTTAAGGGAGTTTTCTTTAAGTAATATTTTCATAATATATAATGACTAATTTTAATTTTTTGCTTTGTGCAGCCTTTTTGTACTTGCTGCGTATTTTTGCCTTTCTTCAGCAGAAGACTTTCTTGAAAACCCGGCCTGGTTTTTTTTGAGCGTACCTATCTTTTGCGCCACTTTTGGTACCACAAAATGGAACAAAACAAAACAAAACCAAAAATTAATCTTTTGTTTGATTTAAAAGCCATACTTCCTTGAAGCAGTCTCACCCATCTTCATTTTATTAGTCTAGGAAATGAGAATATTAATTATGACTAGAAGTCTTGCTTGGGAAAAGAGATAATTGTTTTCTTATGCTAGCATTGATGATGTAAAGAAAAATAATCTGTATATGTTTTTCTCATCGCATCATTTTCTGTCTGTGCACCTTAGCGAGAGATTGAATCGACGTTGAGCGGACCTTCGCTTTGCAGGGCTTTTCATATTGTTAAGAGGTTTAGCTTTCTGCTCTGAGAAAGCCTTCTCTGACCATCTCTTTGGCACTATATTTTATATCCATACAGGCGCCCTTCAGATCGAACAGAGCGAAGAATCTGACCAAGGAAAATATGAGTGTGTTGCCACCAACAGCGCGGGCACTCGCTATTCTGCCCCTGCCAATTTATATGTCAGAGGTAGGAATGACGTCACCCTGGCATCGCTTCCTCATTAAGACTCAGGGGGAGTTGAGAGACCCACAAGATCTGTGTTGTTATGTCAGTAGGTACCAAGCTGATACGCTAGTAATTACAGTAGCTGAAGCATTTTAGTACATAGAGAATTAAAGATCTTAACCCTATTGTTAAAAAAAAAAATGACGACTTTTGAGTTAAACCTATCCTGAGGCTTGAAGTTTGTAAGTATATTTGCATTTTTACATCTCAATTTCTACTTTTACTGCATTGATTGAACTATGCTTGGCATTTGTTTGAAGTTCTCTTCTTTTCCTTCTTTTTTTCCGTTGCTGTTTCTCTTCTGTTTCCTTATCAAACCCTGAAATAATTGCTTGGTGTGCTACTAATCAGTTTTCTGTGCAACTCCAAGCATAAAAGCGTTTATGTCTTCAAGACCTCTGCTGCAGAGCTGTAAGGATAAAGCTGCTAACTTAAAAAGAAACAAAAAAACAAACAAAAAGAAAAGGTGCTCCATGCAAATAGCGCAATTATATTTCCTTTCTTTTTATACTTTTTAAAATTTATGAACAGGTGGTTTTATGTATGTGCATATGTCTATGCATATATTTGCACACATTTTAAAAAGTTATTAATATTCTGAAAAGTTTAATTTTCAATTGCCCTGGAACCCTGATTGTATTTTTAACAATCTTAGTTGTCCTTGGGACAAGAATTGACTTATAAGGTTACATTCATATTTTCTCATAAAGTAATATAAATGGTTACATTTTGAGCTTATGAATGGCTCTGCCTTTCATTTCAATTAGAAAGAAGTATTTCTTCTTCCCCAGAGTTTTCCAAAGCTGGTTCCTATAGCTTTTTGTTCAATGGAAATGCTCTTATTCCTGGTCTACGTGTCTGTGAATAACCACAAAAGGCATGGGTGGGGGTGGGAATAGATTAAAGACTGCAAGGGCTTTAAATTACAATAAGATGGGTTTCCTTAGGAAAATACCTAGCTTGATTTTGAAATTTTTATTTGAGATAATTTTGTTTCTGTGGGGATGTTTTCCTCTCCTATCTTTCTCTAGAGTCCGGGGTGGGAGAATATGAAGAAACCATTTCTTCTCCAAATTCCTTGAAAGCCCCTTGATCTTTTTTCTTACAATGGTGACCTCCTTTGCTGCATGAGGCATGTGAACCTTCTTTAATGGAAAAATTTCAAAATGATGCTAGCTATTGTTTCTAATACCGTATTAGTCCATGAGGTGTTGTAACGTTTTCAGCTGAGGTAGGAAGGATTAACTAGAGCAAATAAAGATATTCAAGTAGCAGTTGAAAGCCTTGATATGGCCTTTTTACTCTCTCTGTGTTTCCCTTGTTTTTCTCCTTTCCTCATTTCATTGTGTTCTGCATCAAACCCCCTACATCCCTCAGAGCTGCGAGAAGGTTGGTGTGTTTTTTACTTTTTACCCACCTTACAAAACTCTTAATTAAACCAATAACAAAGAATACAAATGAAATGAATGTAGCTGCATTGTGGTCTTCTTTTGGTTAATGGTATGTTTCAGCAGAGAATGCCCTGGCCCTGGCTTCCAGTGCTTGCTGGTGGTATCTAACCGTGGTGCATGATGGGCGAGAATGTACCTGGGTGCATGGTAACTGGTAACACTTAACTCTCTCAGGTCCCATGAACTCGGTCAGTGTTCCTGCTTTCCTTCCTGCTCCACTCTTCCCATCTCCTGCCTCACCTTAGTTTTTGTCTTACAAGGATGCCTGCTGCCCATAGAATGACTTTTTGTAGTTGTTCTCCTAATCCCAAGCATGAAGACTAAACTCTCCTCTATTTTCTTGATATGTTCTTTGACACCGTAGAGCCTCCCGTGGCTCCTGCTTGCTTTGTGTAACCTGTGAATTGGCTGCAGGAGGCATGCTTAGCTCTCTCTTCTCTGCCTGTCATTCACCCCTGAGGCCATCACAGCAAGCCCTCTCGAATCAGCAGAGGTTTATCTCAACCTAATGACAGCCAAAAAGTTTACAGACAGAATTATTTACTTATCATTTTCTTGGGGTTATGAGGTTGTTTGTTTATTGACTTATTTAGAATTTAAAAAATCACTGTATTATCCATATTTAAGGTATGCTCCTAATGATTACCTCCTGATCTAAAATACTCCTGGTGTAATGTTTTGCCAATAAGAGCCCAAGATGAAGCCTATTTGTCTCTTGCCCTCTCCTTGTCCAAGACACATGTCTTAAGCACACATAAACATGCAGATTATCTGAAGCAGGAACACTGAACTGTAATTGCTTGGTAATTTTTTCTGTGTTGCATTGCTTTAATATGACCTCTTCTCTCAATATCATGTTTCATTGTATGTTTTAGACCCAGTGTCCTTCCAATTGAACATAGGCATAAAAAGCCTCTTACCCGATTTTGTTACCATCATCTATATCGTTTTACCTTAGATATGAACTGAGTGGAATCTTGAATGTGAAATACCCAGCTCCCCTCCTGAATTTGCAATCCTTGCCTTTGACAACGTAGCTTAATCTAATGTATTCCTTCTTTGAGCCCTATCATCCCTTAAATCCCTGTTTCAGTCACTGTATTTTACCTCCTCCCTTTATGTTAGTGCCGTTACCTTGTTATTTCTTCTTTTGTCATTGTTGTCTTGGAGTCCAGCCATTTCCCCATTGTCCCAAGCATGGGCCTTGAGACTTCATCTTGTGCATGCCTTGCATGACCCAATCCAGTATCTCTACTGGCACTGGCTTTGTTTCTTCTTCTGTGAGCATAAATTGGTATGTGTATATATTTCTGTGTCTGTTCCAGTGTTAGTGGAGGTCTTGAGGCTGCATCCACTCTGAGTCTGAAAGCAAATAAATTGCACTTTCGTGTCCTCTAGATGATGTTTTCCAGGGTTGGGATGTGACAGTGTGGTCCCACACATACATTCACATCAACTGGAAGTGCACAGCACTGAAGTTGGTTTTGATACTCAACTTAAACCTGCTGGTGACCTTCCAGCCCCCTTTTCTGCACACACATGCATGCATAAGATCTTTGCTATATGCATGCATGTATGTGTTTTTGTGTTTATCTTATGCATGATTTTTGTGTATTGTTAGTTTGTAGATAGTTTTTTTGTTTTGTTTGTTTTGTTTTGTGGGGCCCTTGTAGGTCTGAATCAACTTTTGTATGAATGTGTCTAAGATATCAATGACTAAACTAAATACTTTTTTCTGTGTATACACATACCATACTTGTATGGTCTGTATTATCCACAGTTTTTCTTTGTTTTGTTTTTGGAAAATCCACAATATGTTTCAATTGTTTAATTGTGTTTGTACAGTGCATGTCATATGTTTAACAAGCCACTTTATCTTGCCTTTTATTTTATCATTTTCCCTTGTGTTTTGTTCCAGTTCGCCGTGTCCCACCAAGATTCTCTATCCCACCTACTAATCATGAAATCATGCCAGGTGGAAGTGTTAATATCACCTGTGTGGCCGTGGGGTCACCAATGCCTTATGTGAAGTGGATGTTGGGGGCAGAAGATCTGACACCGGAAGATGATATGCCAATAGGAAGAAATGTACTAGAACTGAATGATGTGAGACAGTCAGCAAATTACACCTGTGTGGCTATGTCAACACTGGGTGTCATTGAAGCAATAGCACAGATCACTGTCAAAGGTACGCTTAATGGTTTTTGCTTTGAGGGTCTGGGTACATTCAAGTCTCCTGACTAATGTCCCTACAAAGTCTACCCTTGGAATTCTAAAATGAATCAATTCATCTGAGTTCAGTTTTCAAAGTCTAATCATATCTATGGTATCGTTTAAAATCACGTATCTAGGTAGGGAGATTCTTAAAAGGACTGATAGCCTAAGTAATGATAATCATCAATATATTTAACAATCCGCTGGGCCGGAGCAGTAACCAGGCAGATTGAGAAACATTAGACACTGTCAACCATTATGATAGAACTGATGCAAACAGGTTTCATATTAACCCAGAACTCTGGTGAGAGTGCATGATAGAAAAATACAAGTAAGTATTAATAAATGCTCAAATCCATGAAGACAAAAGAAAAAGAGAATTAAATCAACATGATCTAATAATAGATGTTTTAAAATTTTGATGGGTCTTACCATTAAAAATCAAACTGTAAGTGGCATTATATTCTATTTTAACTTTAACTCTTATCTTCAATACATGAAGTGCTCAAAAAATACTATTTTATTTAAGTGCACTAAATGTAACCGAAGTTACAAATTTCACGAATATTTTTAAAACAAAAGTAAGTGTGTGGGGTACCAATTGTTTTTATAAGTGTTTATAGAATTCTTGAATGCTTCTGTAAAAACGATCAGACTGAGGATGACTCTAGGTTCTTGCAAATGTCTGGAACTACTGCAAAAATGAACACAAATTATCTTTGCTTTCCAGGAAGTATGATCCTAAAAAATGTAACACACATGTTGTAATTGGTGTCATATCCCCTACCAAGCATATATATCAAATATATGCAATTAAAAAGCAATAATGTGACATGAGAACAAAAGTACATGCCATTGTCAACATTTTAGTCATTTAAAATAGTAATGTTGTATTGAATATCCGTAACTGTATTCAGCATACTTAGTCTTATCCATACGTATAGGCACAAAACCTATACTGTGCAGTAAATGTGACAGCAAAGCTAACGTCTGTTAAGTTTCAGTAAGCACACCTTTAATTAGCAATATTTTTACTTACCTTAATAATTCAGAAACACATCTAGGGAAAATTTGGATCATCTACTTTTTGAAAAATGTCAGTCCAGTATATTTGAACATTTGTTCAAATGTCTTTTTATTATTATTTTCAGTAAAATCCCTTGGCTAAATATTATCATTCTATAGTTCTTAGAGTAATATGCAAATATTGAATCACCTTTCTTATAATAACTAGTTCAGTTTCAAATATTTGAAGGTTTGCTGAAGACCTTCAAGAATTCAAAATCAGGAGTCACATTAACTAATATCTTGTTCAACTTCTTATCTTTGTTTTCCAGGCTCTTGCCATTCCCTACCCTCTCCACCTCAAAAATAAATAAATATAAGGGTGAATCCTATAGGCAAAAAAGTAAATCAAAACAAAAAGAGCAAGTGGAAGAGAGTGAGGATGTGTCCCAACTCATTCATTCAGTTGGGTGTTCATTCAGTTAACACTGCTAGGCAGTATTCTAGGTATTGGAGATACACATGTAATCAAGTACAAGTTTGCAACTCTTGAAAAGCTGCCATTCTAGAGAGTATTATACTTTTTTGCCTTTATGTTGACAAGGAAAAAAAATACAAAAGGGCTGATCATATGAGTGTTACATTCTGGGTTTTCTCTCAAAAGTTAGGTGGTAGCTATAATTTCAGGTATTACTGATATTGAATATAGACTGCATATTATGATAGTAAACTGCTTTAAAAAGTTATTTGTGAATATGCTTTAATTTAGTTCAACATTTTTGAATATCAACATTTTGAATATAATAATAATATTAACTAAAAACATGAATTTGAAATTAATCAATTTGAAATTTACTGTTCTTTCTTACCTTAAAATTCTTGGTTAGATTATTTTGTTTTTTTTAGGATTTTATTTATTCATTTGAGACAGAGACAGACAGACAGACAGAGAGCATGAGTGGGGGGAAGGGAAGAGGGAGAGGGAGAGGGAGAGAAGCAGGCTCCTCTCTGAGCTGGGAGCCAGACTCCATCCCAGGACCTGAGGATCATGAACTGAGCCAAAGGCAGATGCTTAACCATCTGAGCCACTCAGGCACCCCTAGCTAATTTTTTTAAATTATAGTAATATTATCTATGTCTTATAACTGGAAAACAATATGGATATTATTCTTCCATAGTGATTTAATGCCATTTGAATATATTACAAATTGTGTTCTTTTCAATGTTGGTATTTAGTTATATCATGTATTTCTTGAAGCAAGAGGCTAATTGGCCAAACTCTTGGTTATAATAATAGTAATAATTGCAATTAACGTTTTTTGAGGGTGCCGGATACATTCTGAGAGCATTACTGGAATAGTTCATTAATCTTCACAGCAAACTCATGAAATACAGTTACCCAGCTGTACAATACAATCCAGTGATAGCTCTTCCCATTTTCCACATGTGAAAACTAAAGCAAAAAGAGGTTATGCAATGCATCTAGGATCACATAGCTAATAACTGGTGGATTTGAATACAAGCCTCAAATTACAGTGCTCTAATGTGCTTTTAGTAAAAGGAGATTTGTCCCCTATGCATCTTACTATACATCCTACCCACTTAGAAAACAATCTTTTGTTATAATTTAATCTAATCAAATCTTCAGTAGATAACATAATTCTGTTATTCCAGTAGTAAAGCTTATGGATCTTTGTAATATCTTAGAGCTGATGGGTATTCACTGTCCTTTTTTTCTCCTCCTAAGCCTTACCCAAACCTCCAGGAACTCCTGTAGTGACCGAGAGCACAGCCACAAGCATCACATTGACGTGGGACTCTGGGAATCCTGAGCCTGTCTCTTACTACATCATTCAACATAAACCTAAAAATTCTGAGGAACCTTACAAAGAAATTGATGGGGTGGCAACGACACGCTACAGTGTCGCTGGACTAAGTCCGTACTCGGATTATGAATTCAGGGTTGTTGCTGTCAATAACATTGGGCGGGGACCTCCCAGTGAGCCTGTGCTAACGCAAACCTCAGAACAAGCACCATCCAGTGCCCCACGGGATGTACAGGCGCGGATGTTAAGTTCAACCACCATTTTGGTACAGTGGAAGGAACCTGAAGAACCAAATGGACAGATCCAAGGATACAGAGTTTATTATACAATGGATCCCACTCAACACGTCAACAACTGGATGAAGCATAATGTAGCTGACAGCCAAATCACTACTATTGGCAACTTAGTGCCCCAGAAAACATATTCTGTCAAAGTTTTGGCTTTTACCTCAATTGGAGATGGTCCTCTTTCAAGTGACATACAAGTCATCACTCAGACAGGAGGTAAGTCTGGTTCTGGATGGACAGTAGGAAAGGAGGAAAGGAGTAGGTGCTAAGAGGTGTGAATGGTGAAAACAAAGAAAGGACAAAGATAAGTATGAATTTTAATTTTTGAAACTTAGAGTTTCTAAATGAGAGGTTAAGATAAGACATCTGGAGCAGAACAGGCATGGATACCTGAAAGACTAAGTAATACTTTTAAGTAGAGGGATGCATTTAGCATCTTTTTAAAAAATTTGTACCCAAATGACTTGAAGATTTTTCTGAATGAGATGGATGAATGCATCCTCCATGCAGCATTTTGAGAACTATCCTGCTTTATACTAGTGACTCTGATAGAATACTCTTACAAAATTATTTAACTTATGAAAGATTGGGTGGTTGGGCGCCTGGGTGGCTCAGTTGGTTAAGCAACTGCCTTCTGCTCAGGTCATGATCCTGGAGTCCCTGGATCGAGTCCCGCATCGGGCTCCCTGCTCGGCAGGGAGTCTGCTTTGCCCTCTGACCCT